CGTCATATTATTTTATATATATGAGCGAATTGTCATTTTTTTGTACAATTGGTAAAAAAAAAACGAAAGTGTATCTAGAAAAAATCTGAATATTTAAGATTGTAAAAAACGGTCTACATTTTAAAAATTGAGTGTAAATCTGTAGCCCAGTGAGTTTAGGAGCTTTGAAAGTTTTTTATTCTGACTCCAGATGAAAAGATGCATCTAAAAAAAGTAGTTTTGATGCCATCCGAATATCTCTTTTGATTTGGGAGTTACGAGCATTTTTGGAGGACCTATCTATCGGCTAAATTTCATGCTTGGGAGCTTTCCAAAATACATCGAACATAGGTTATCGCTCCACCAGGCTCTCGTGGCAATGTTGATTTATCGGGAAAAATTCAAGAACCTCATGAAAATCTATACTAGGTAAAATAACCTATTTTCGCCTGTTTTCACGTACATTTAAGCATTGATTGAATGTTTTAATAATGGTTGATAATTCATCTATTTTATTATTATTATTTGTTAAAACAATAAGATAATATGTATTTGTTATGTTGTTATTATCGACTATTTGAACAAATATAATTTAAAATATATGGTTTTTTTGATAAACAATAATTAAATCATTATCATTATGATATAATTGAAGCCTTTATACTTTTGAATGACAAATTGGATTAGATGATTTTCATATTTCAATAAAATGAATTAGTAAAAAAGACTCAATAACTATGTTTCGTTGAAATTTTGAATAAATTAATTTTTTCCTTCTGTAGCTTTGAGCTGACAATGAACAATTTAGGGCTCTTCTTATAAATTCTAAAACTTTGCAAAGCAAGGTCGTGTAGAGCTGGAGGATGTTTCATTTTAATCAGAAATTTGTGGGCTACAATCCTGCATTATTAAGAAAGGCTTGGATTGTTTTTCGGAGTTTCTGAAAAACTGGTTTTCCAGAAGACTGGATCTTCGAAGAGATATGAGAAAGCCCCATGGTCATATTCGGAATCAGCATGGTCGATAACCTATAACCCACTAGATGTCGATCAAAAAGCGATTTATCACCTCGAGAGGTTCCCTCGTCAGTAGCACAGTGGTTAGAGCTCGTAGGTTGTTAACAGAGAATCTGGGAGGCATATATTTGCCTTTCATGTATTTGCCTGGTTGCCTTAAAGCCTCAAAAAGTACATTATGGTTTAAAGAAAATGTTACTGGACGAGTACTCTTATCCTCTAATTTCCTTAAAGAATGCGGGAAGAAACATTACTTAAACATTAATTTTAAAACGTGCAAGAATGTAGAACCGGACCCACGCAAAGATATAGTTCACATCGTATGTTGATTTATGTACGCCATTTTATCCTCAAGACAATGAATTACCAACACCCAAGCAAGACTTACAGCGGGTATTCGAGTTATCCAGATACTAATATGTACTGGAATCATCTAGATTTAGACGATCAACGACCGATAAATCGATCGCTTATGGCATAATTCATTTAAGTACATTAATTCAAGTTAAATTTACCTACATACACGGAAGTTTAGAACTGATTGTAGACAACGATCTTTTAAATTCTCTTAAGCTGATTTTATTTGAAATATGATCTTTTCTCTAGATTACATAAAAGATTGAAAAACGCACGAGTACAATAAACAGTTATACACATTTTATCTCATGCAAATATATTCTTGTTATGGATGGGTATATAACACCCGCGGATGAGTCCCCTTCAGGACTTGTTGACATTCTAAACAAAAAATATGAATGTCATATTAGCGAAGTCTATATAGTTTTACAGACATTTCAAAATCGAAAAAAATTTCTAATTGTATGTTCTCCAGCCAGATGCATTATGACTACCTCTAACTACTGAAAACTATTAGGAAAAATTTTTGACACTTTTGATAAAAATTTTAAAGATGAAAAATTACTGTTCTTCTTTCGTTAATATAAACTGTCAATTCTACTTTTGAAATGTCTGTCTACAGTTTTTCGCCAATGATTAGAATGCAAAAAGGTACCATAAACTTATGTTTCTACAGACTCCACTCCTATTCTATCCGATTAAATTGGAATTTTACTAAAAGAAGGCAAGACTCTAACTCAGTAGTTTCTGAATTCTGTTGTCCTCTAAGAGATTATAGTAAAAATATACGAATATCAAAAACCATGAATTAACCTTTTAAGTTAGAGAATAATTTTTACCGCTAAAAGTTTACAACCACTATATTCTATGATAAGGTAAAATACCCATCAAAGTGCCGTCGATAACTTATTAAAAATCAAGTTCGCAAACGTCCATCAAGATCTTCAATGTATTAATTCACCTTAGCTCAAAAGTTTCAGTCGCCAAATCGTTTTCTAACGGACAGTTTTAATGAACTGAGAATGACTCTATTGTATTTTATACTATGGTACACGTAGACAAGGTCTTAAACTGAATGTACGTGAAAACAAAGTAAGGATCAGTCACCTTTTTTGTCGACATTTTTTTTTTCTTAACTATTTTTGACAGTCCGATTGTTTTCATTTGTTTTTTCGATATCTTCGTACCAACCTTATCATTATTATCTGAAAAATATAGAGTTAATGTTACTTTCCTATATGTTGTAGTTATTTATTTACATACTTAGCGTACTTCTTCGTTGTCGATCTGAAACATATGAAAGAGATTAGTGCAACTTCAACACAACGGTATTACTCACCGTCCTGTTCTGTTGTTACATTTGTTGTATATGTTGTTTCTAGTAGACGTTCAATTAGATTTGGATCCAAATCGATCGACAGTGGAACTCCACGTCTCGTTGAACACTTGTCTAAATCGCTTATATGGCCATTATATCGACATAATGTGATTCCAAAGCGTGACTTTTCCAGATGATACGTGCCAATGAGCTCTCTAGGATTTGTTACAGCTTTTCAAATGAGACAGTTGTATGTGTATGATGAACTTGGAATATAGGTGGACAGACTCACCTTCAGGTTGTTTAAAATTGACATCTGGCTGAAATGGTATCAATGTTCGGACACGTTTTAATTGATTTAATAATGATCTTATACATACCAGTTTGAGTCTGAAAAGGGTAATAATACAGTAGAGCTCTAAATAGACATGAGCTTAAGCTCTATGCAGATTAATTTTTTTCTTACATGACAAATCCTGCATTACAGTCTTTTCTCGTGACCTTAACATATACCGGATTTCTATCTTCGACATTTTCGTCTTTATTATCTCGTTGAATTTTGTATGGTGAATAGTACAGTTGTTCCTTGTACCAGTCCGTTAACCAAGCAGCTTCAATCAGTAAGTTTATCATATTACGATATTGTTCTGGTATCTACAATTGAAAAAACCTATTTCCTACAACGATTTTCTTTCTTAGTGGAATACTTGCGTACTTTCACAGTGAGAAAACCAGGGCCTTTTATATTTTGAATATAATACGGATTCTTAATTTCTCCACGAAGTGTAAAACAGTCAGTTTTTCCTTGTGGTCGGTATGTATCAGAAATGCCACCGACCAATTCAAGTTGAGCACTAGTGGAGATTGTTTGACCTATTCGTTAAGCAAGGTAAGTTTTAAATTTATTTTACCAGGGACAACTTACTCGAGAAGATACTTATCGGTTTATCAATGGCTATATTCTGTCGTTGTTCAACAGCCGCATTATATACTGATTCATCCACTTTATCTATTGCTGAAAGAAAATAGAAATAATGTATGACTTTATTTTAGCACTTAAGACGATATAGTCCCGGTTAACTACAAAAGTAACAGAGATCTATATATTCATGAACTTTTACATCTAAATCATGTAGTAAACCATCATTAATCGTTGAAGCGTGATCAATCGTAGCATTTTGTGTAAGATATCGATTTTACGTATTAATATCCATTTGATTACTTCATTTGGGACCATACATGAGACTAACTGAGAATTAGGGTTAAGCTGCATTTTACAACTCTCTTCTCATATTTTCATAAGAAGTTAGCGATATTAAGCTAGGCAGAAAAGTTCCATAAAATGGTAAAACCCCGAAACTCTCTGTATCTTTTCTTCCGAAATCGATGGTGAAGTAAATATGATTAGTTCAAATCTTCTAGGTTTTCGGTTGTGACTCTATTCATATGTTACTAAACTATACTTCCATACGGTTGTTTTGTAATTAAAACTTTTGTGTACGCTTGTCGTACATTTTCTGACAAAACACTTTCGAAGGTTCTCTATCACATAAAAAACGTCTTAAATGGAATAATTTGATAAGTACTGGAAACACGGCTTTTGTGATGATTACGCTTTTTAAAGAACGTTCTATGTACCGCAATAGTTTTTTCTGAAAATTAAATTTACAGTGAAAATTCATGTATTAAAAAATTCTGGGTAAGAATGACGTCATTATTTCTTCTTGATAATGGCTCATGCTTTACAAATGTAGATCATAAACCATATCATTTTCCCATTTCAGCATTGAATGAGGCTACTTGTCAATGATTAAAGTATTTTTAGAGGTTCATGAGATCTCAGCAGCGTTTGAAATGAGGTCTCTGACAATTACCCGTTCCACTGATAGAGTGCCCATCAAACATTGGTGAACCTATTGAAAGTTTGAAAACTGTACCTTGATCACTTTCCATTACATCCACTACTTCTGTGCTACCAGCCATCATCATTTCATTGAAAAAATTCTCATCCAATTCATTCAGATCTTCAGTACCCATTTGAAAATCCTGCATCATCAACATTCTGTCTACCATTTCGTCCATATAATCTTCCGTTAACTGCTCGATTTCATTAGCAATAACTTTAGTACAATCGTTCACATATATATCTACATTAAATTTAAGCAAAGATATATAACTTCCTTGCTATGCAATGTAGTGTTGGTACCTACCAGTCGTAGTTGCCATTGCCATTTTAAATAATTCTGAATAGTCGTTTTAATAGCAAAATGCAGAAACTTGTCTTCAACCTACCAGCAGAACAAAACAACTTTAATATTACCAACGCTTTTAAAAGAGATTTAGCACCAATATAATCAAAAACTATTTCTTTCTTTTGTAACTGATGTATATTGCTCAAAAACAGCCTGTTTTTGTGTACTTAAAGGTAAAAAGAAAAAAGAAACACATGCACCATTACATTACCTTCTTTTTTTGTCAGATTTTTGTGTGCACTGCATGCAGTACAGGAGCTTTGTAAATTCGACTACGCATATGTGCAATGCGTCGTTTTACTTTGGACTGAAATATATTTTATTGACAAAGATAAATATCAACAAGAAACGGGAAAAAGTATTTTTGCCTGTGTGAGAGCAAGAGAAAATCAAAAAACTAAAAAGCCAAAGAAACGTAAAACAAAAAGGGAAGTGTGAAAAAATGAATTACTCTCGTTTCGTCCCGTATTTGTTAATTAGCTCTCGTTTCGTCCCGTCTCATTTCGTCCCACACTTGTTTCGTCCCCTCTCGTTTCGTCTCGTTTACATTTTCTATCATTCTACTCATTTTATAACTATTCATTTTTTTCTATCAACTGTATACTAATCAATATTAATATAATTTGATAATTGATACAGGGCTCTATAAGTTACATTTAT